CACACCGCCAGGGAGAGCAGCGGGCAGCAGGCCTGGGAGGGAAGCCCACAGGTCGGGGGTGTGGGGGGGGGGGGGGGGGGCAACAGAGCTAGGCCTATTACCTGGCCCCTACCTGTCCTCACTAGGGCTGGAGCAGGTTCTTCCAGGTAGAATCAGCTGGGGCTTTAATGCCTGGATCTGACCCTCGAGGGCTGCCCAGGGTTGGATTCACGGAATGCGTTAAGCCACGTTGGGTGAGCCGAACCAGAGTCTGGCCCAGTCTTGCACATTTTCATGGCAGGCAGAGCAGTGCATCAAAGTGATAGATCTACGCTGGAGCCAATGTAAACCAAATTCAGTACCAAGAAAATCTAAACGCTGCCTGAAAATTAAGCGCAGGCCTCTGTTTTGCATAGTTTGCTCAACCTTTGTCCAACCTCTCTAATCACAGGGAGGCCCTGCAGGCATGACCACGTTTGCAGACCCAGGCAAGGAGATGGGTTCCTGGGCTGACCTTTGTCCGAAGAGCGGGAGTGGGGCCACTTGGCTCCAGGCCTGGAGAAAGCAGGATGGGCACCTGTGGAGGCCAAGGAGAGGGCAGAGTAACAACCCTACCACTTCCAGAGGATGCCCATTCCTTGAGGAGAAACCACCTCTCAACAAAGCAGCCCCCCCACCAACCTGGCAGAGCAGTTACCGCCTCGTACCCGCAGTCCTCCTCTTGGCAGCGTGAGCTGCAGCCCTGCCCGAGCCAGGCCTGAGCAGTGTTTACACAGCTGCCTCTGCCTGCTCCAGCCAGCTTCTCCCACCTCCCGAGCCTGCTGCTGCTGCTCCTGGATCAGGCAGGCACCACGTGGATCGCATTAGAGGATCCGCCTGGAATTCAGGCTAGAGCCGTGACCCAGCTCTTTCCTCGTGGCTGCGAAGGACGAGGGTGAGACTGAATGTTGGCCCAGTGACCAGACCCACACTGGTTGGGGCTGTGCAGCCCACAGGGCTAAATTATGGTTGGCTGGTTTGGAGCTCTGCGTGTTGTATGAATGGAGGCAGTTGGGTTCGGCTGATAAACCATGGCTAGGCTCACAGCTGGCTCTTGTACTGGGAACACAGCCTTTGAGCGGCCCAGCCAAACTTCCTTCGTCTTCCTTTCTCCTCCTGAGGCCCCCACTCTGAAGCAGCCTGCTTCAGCTGACCAGAGGGGACCCTAACCATGTGGGCGCAAGTCCCAGAGCAAGCTGACCCGCCCATGGAGGCAAGGGCCAGTCTCCACAGAGGACCAGAAATAAGCGAGTGCTAGCTTGCACTCGCAACCTGCAGGCTGCACCAAGGATGCTGCAAGATCTCCCAGCTGCACTAGGAACACAGATTTACCAAAGCACAACCCCACACCACGAGGAGCCCAAGAGAAAGAAGCATCAACTCTCTCCCAGACAGGTGGCACGGCCGCCCTCAAACTGCCAATCTGGCCAACGTTCCTAATGTCAAATCCTGCTCATTTGGGATGTCAGAAAACTTGTTTTAGAAACAAAAAGCAACAGAGGCGTTTGCAGACCAAGCCAAGGACACCGGGGGGGGGGGGGGGGGGGGGGGGGG